TAATAAAAAGAAATCCATTATTTTTTCATTCAATTTCATGCAAAAATAATGGATTTCTTTTTACTACATCTAATATTAATGTTTGATTAATGTTTGAGTAACGTAATTATAATTATTTATATTTATGTAATATTTTTTACTCTCTAAAATTAAACTAAAATTACTCTCTAAAATTTTATTCTTTTATTCTTTTTAAAATTTATTAAAACATTCAAAACTTTTCAAGTCATTCAAAACTTTCAAGATTTTTAAGATTGTATAATTTCCAATCATATTCGAATTAATTTGAGATTTTCATGATATGAAAGATTTTCATGATATTTAAAGCATCTAATTCAAAATATCTTGATATCATTACCATCATTAATAGTAACTAGTTAAAACGTTAAAAGTTAAAAAAAGTTAAAAAATTACTAACTTTTAATTTAATTTAGTCAATTTTAAATACATTGATTGTAACTGAATTTAATTATTTTCTAACTTTAATTTATTAACTTTTTTAAATTAACATTTTTTTATCTCTTAATGCCAATATTTTTTTCTATAAGATCTTAAACATTAGAGAATTAATTTAGAAAAAAATTAATGATTTTATGATTAGAGACTATAATAAGAATCATGCCATAGTTTTGATTGGATCTCTAAGTTTTATCAATTCCCGCTTATATTTGAATCACATTAATTTTAGGTGTCATAAATATTATATTTCAGCAACATAAATATTGATTTGAGTCTTAGGTAAAGGCATTGTAAAACAATGCTGCATATCTACCCATTTTCTAAATTTTCATGTACATTTTTTTGGATAACATTTATATGTGAATAAAAAAAATAAATTACTTAATAATCTATATTGTAATCGTTATATAAAGTAATCTCATTTTAAGAAAAATTAAATCATTCTGATCTCAAAAATAATTGTTTTTAAAATTAACTTTTTTTAACTTAAGTTAATTTAATCTTAAGTTTTATTAAATTAATTTTTTGTTTTTTCAATTTTCAACTTAATTTATTAATTTTATAAGCCATTAACTACTAACTCTGATAAATTCACATAGAAATTATTTAAATTAAAATCCAGCTTCGACCATTATAGATTTTAAATTCTTATAGTTGTGTATTTACATATACGTATAGTTTTAATAAATCGTTTATGGTTGAATTTCAGTTTTAACATATTTTGCACAAAAGAAAGTTATTCAGTTATATGAAAATGATAAAATCATTTATCTGCAGAATTTGTAAAAGTTGAATCGTAAAGATTAAACTCATTTTGAAATTTCACTTTGAAATAAATATAAAAATATAATATATAATTGTTATATGACACGAATTGACTTAAGTACGAAAATATGATCTTATTTCAATTTAGTACTGCTTTAAATATTTCTGCAAAATCATTTAAGAATAAATCGTTTCCCTGTTGTGAATAATTCATTTAACGAATGACAGGCTGATCTTGTCATTTTCTGCTTTCAGGAATTATGACCCTTCCGAGCAGCCCGTGTGAGATAGAAAACATGAGCTTGTTTCAAGACCTCAAGTTGAAAAGGAGAAAGGTCGACTCCCGATGTAGTAGCGACGGTAAGAACGCCTCGAAGATATACTGTAACATCACGTTAAAATTCCATGTGAATTGAATTAACATTTAATAGAATTAACATTAATTCTGCCAGGGGAAATGGAACGTAAAACATTTTTCCGTAGGAATACCGCAATGATATCTTTTGCAATGTGTCGCAGCGTTATTATAATAGTATCTCATTATGTTTTATTTCCGCTATTCATCTTTTAATATCAAGCATCTTGATTTACAGCAATTGCTCATAATAGAACAGGAAGAAAAAAAGATCAATGAAAATGCAGCTTCGTATTTATCTTCGCTATGTGAATTACATTAAAAAACGTGCCAGATAAGATATTCAAATAAAAATTTGTATATTGAAATGATTATTCTCGTGTAATCTGACTTATTAATGTACGATACTTACACTTCGAAATATTACATACGGAAAAGATGATACATGATATGTATCATCTTTTATAAAATATTTCTTTAATAATCGATGTAAAATCAATTCTCAATAAATAAGGATATTTAAAACTCTTCCACAGGCACTTTCTATACTAAGAGAAAGAAATAGTTGAAATAATCATTTAACTATAATTTATGGGATTGTGCGACTAGTCATTTTTTGCGACAAGTATAAATTTATAATTATTTGGACCATATGAATTATAGTAACCTGAACACTGAATTATGACCATAATATGTATTCATTCAACTAATTATAGTTATCTTATACATAATAATGGTTATCTTATACATAAATCATATTTGCATATAATTTTATACTATAAAACGTTATAACTATACATATAAGATTATTGTTATTGACATTATAGCAATAATAATTATAAAAGTGATGCTCCTGACCATAATTATTTTGTCATGCAATTATAGTTACAAATACGATATACTTTTCTCTCAGTGTTGATTAAAATGTAATATATAATAAAATATATAATAAAAGAATGACACACTGAAAGGAAAGATTTTTGATTGTAGCAACAAATTTTTAGTTGAATTAGCCTATCGAAATCATATACTGACTTTGCGAGTAGGCTAACGCAACTTGCTGTTACAACCAAAAACTTTTTTGATTGCTACAGCCGATTAAAAATGCTATATTTTATTTAAAAATGCCATATTTACTATTTAAATTGTTGCAGCAATCAATATTTTCTTTCAATGCATGGTTAATAAATAATTAGTCACTAATTTTGAATTTAATTATTCATCTCTTTAAAATAACATCAATAACACATATTTCTTTCCTTATTTTCGGTTCATTAATCTGTGTATTATAACTACAATTATTTGTTTTCTTTGTTTTATATTATTTACATTCTTAGCATTGTTATTATTATATATTATTATCAAAATATCATCAATCATATTAATAACAATTTTATTATAATCATTATTTTACCGAATTATAATAAATAAAAATTGATTATATTATCTTTTTAAATTTCTTTTAGTCTCTCGCGCACTTAAGCTTATTCTACAATGTGCTTTGTTTCCTATTTCTTGTTTTTTATCTTTTGCTTTTTTCTCCTTTGTAACTCTTTATCGACAATTGTATTTCTTATTACGTATTTCTTGTTTCTTTCGAAGTTCGTTAACTTTTATCTCGGATATAAAACAACGGACGATATAAAACAAAAAACTGGATAAGAAGCAAAAAGACAAGCTGTAAAAAATAGCAAAAAGCAAGAAATAGGAAACAAAAAGCATATTATAGAACAGGCTTTACTGTATGGCGACGAAACGGACTCAGTGACCAGTCGCCCGTCTTCGCGCCACTCGCCGCCGCGCTGCGGAAATTATTATATATTTTTATATATATTACATATATATATT